GTGACGTTCACAGGAAAATATCTCTAGTTGATGTCGGTTTCATATGTTAGCATGGCAATTGAGTCAAACATTGCTGATACTAGTGTCATCCTTTGCGTTATGTGTTTTTGTAGGGTAAATTCAGAGATTGTAAATCAAGTACGCCGTACTGACTTTCACATACACTTCAGGGTAAAACACTATTGTGTTAAGCAATGGCAGCGATAATCATTTAAAAATACAAAAGTAGATATTTGACAGCCCACTGACAGTTTATATAAGTCATCTCTATCATAAACTTCCAACGACAACAAACGTTTACCTAGGTACATACATATATGCAGTACTTCACATCAGAAGTAGGATACGTTGCTAATACATGTACGTAGTTAAAAAAGACAGATTTCACAGTAAAGAAGAATCATTTTATGCGTACGTAGTACATACCGTAAATTAGTTGCATATTTGACACATTAATTTGCGCTTACTGTGCTCATTTCCGATGACTTTGCATTACGTATAAATAAATGGAGGCGTGATACTTGAATTCCCTATCAATTCAAGATGCAAAATCCTTTACTCGGGGACTTAAATGTATCTTTCCAATATCTACAATGGTACATGACATGCAACACTGTTCTATTTGAATATATTCCATGGGATACATGGTAGCTCATATTCTACACTATGTAGGAACGAAACTGTTGCATACCATCACAAATATTCAAAATGATCCAAGCAATGATTGGGCTACGATTACTCGAGCAGTGTGACGGAAAGACCCGAACAATTTCCGGTTGGAAACTTTTAACGTGTAATAGTTCTTGGTGTTATAATGGAAACTTTTAACGTGTAATAGTTCTTGGTGTTATAACGGAAACTTTTAACGTGTTATAGTTCTTGGTGTTATAATGGAAACTTTTAACGTGTAATAGTTCTTGGTGTTATGATGGAAACTTTTAACGTGTACTAGTTCTTGGTGTTATAATGGAAACTTTTAACGTGCAATAGTTCTTGGTGTTATAATGGAAACTTTTAACGTGTAATAGTTCTTGGTGTTATGATGGAAACTTTTAACGTGTAATAGTTCTTTGTGTTATAATGGAAACTTTTAACGTGTAATAGTTCTTGGTGTTATAACGGAAACTTTTAACGTGTTATAGTTCTTGGTGTTATAATGGAAACTTTTAACGTGTAATAGTTCTTGGTGTAATAATGGAAACGTTTAACGTGTAATAGTTCTTTGTGTTATAATGGAAACTTTTAACGTGTACTAGTTCTTGGTGTTATAATGGAAACGTTTAACGTGTAATAGTTCTTGGTGTTATAATGGAAACTTTTAACGTGTAATAGTTCTTGGTGTTATTGGTTAAAAAGAACGTTCTTAGGTAATTCGTTAATCTTAGGGTTTTTCTAATAAATATACTAAAGAGAATTTTTTAACAATTACTAAACACCATTACAAAAGATTGCGGCTAGCAAGAACAGAAGAAGCGCTACAATAACGAAATGCATTTAGCTCTAGGTGCTTTAAGCCCGCTCTGCTACAGTGTCGATGTTTTCTTTCTCTCTTTGCAGTCGAGAGGTATAGTCTAATGAAAATACACGGTAGTAGATACTGTTTCTTTCATTTTTCACAGTTATGTATCCTAAATTGTTTTGTAATGCATGACGAGAATGATTCTACGGAAATGCAAGGTCGACTGGATCCCTATGGGGGTTGCTTTATAGAGCTGTTCAAGTGTCATACATTTAAGTAACAACATACATACACGTGTTAAATAATGATGTAAGAATGCCTGGGCAATCATTCTTGGGTACGATACCACACTAGACGTAGCTGTATAGGTTGACGAGATGTAGAATAATCATTCAATATAAATGAAGCCTACTACTTATCGCTTCATACTTTCCCTTTAGATTGACATAGTTTTTGTATTTTGCTATATGATCTATACGTTATGACTTGATAGCGTTGCTGATATTATATGTACATGACTCCCTTGCACGCCCCTTAAGATATCCCTTTACTTAAATAGATACCGAAAGTCTAGTTGAGTTAGGAGACTTTCAAAACCTATACGAGGTACCATTTTTAAAGCACACCGTCATCGCCGACTATGACTTGTGATACTGATTTATACTCTTTAAATAAATTAACTCGCCGTAATACGTAGGGTACGCTTACAGTATAGACCAGATCCCATTGTTATACCCATCTTTTCGGAACATTAAATACGTGACACCTTAGAATTTGAAATTGACACAGATGTAGCGTCGACTAAGCATGAATGGAAAGGTGTTGCTGGCAATACTAAACAGTCATAACTTATAGTGACGCTCATCACTTAACAGTCTACTTTGTTACAATTATGTTAACTTATACACAGAGGTAACAGTGTGCCAGTTAAAGGACAAAACCCAAACCGTTGTTATATATTATCTCTTTTCAATTACTGAAATGTATGCTTATTATTGCACGACAGTTAGGAGGAAAACATGAGTAACTCATATAAGTTGAAAATAACCTTGTTGTACAATTCAAAACAAGTTCAAATATAAAAGAAAATTCAACATATATATCATACAAACTTAAAAATCAACACTATACGACAAGTTCATGATCATGATAAATTAAACCATAAGTTACATCATGAACATCAACATAATTATACCACTAATGGGGTCACGCCAAAACTTAAACTACGATATCAGCAACATCAAAATGTATCCACCAACGTAAAGGGGGGAGTGGAGACATAAAAAACTTGGATGAAACGAAAAACAAATTCATTATAAACATAGGAGGCAGCAGGGAAACACCGAGACTAAAGGTTATACAACATTTACTCCAATTTTGTATCACTAACAAAATAGGACACAAAAACTACAGGAATACAGCATGAACACGCTCAATGTGTATTGTCAACGTAAGCTATGATTAAAACGAATGCACATCACATTATAAGATCATATCATAAGCCTTTTAACATGTTTGCTTGATAGAAAAGATCTGCAAGTACCTCATAACTAAAAAAAGACGATTGTTTCACTAAACACGGATTTTAAAAACGGAAGAGACTTAACAAGAATAGTATTGAGTAATTTCCGATGGCATCCTCTGTTAAATTCCTTGTGAGTATTACATTTGATCAAGTTACACGGTGTATAAGAAGAAAGAAAGTAAGGAAATTGGTGGCTATGTTTCCCATTGTGACGTGTTAAAGCCTACGACAGATGCCTAAGATTTATGGTGTACGAGGCCCTGACAGCTGGTGGAGCCTGATACTCCCACACTGTTACATATATCCGTTTGTGAGTTTGTAACCTGCTTTTTAACTTTGTATGTTAGAAACGCCCTACATTGACTTGTGGTCTATCTCTTAGGTATAAACTTCCTCGTCCGATAGGGAACATGCACTCAGAAGAGGAAAGAAAACAACTTATGCAGCTGACTGTGGTCTAAATATATTTTCTTATATGCATGCAAAGTACATGTTTAAGCTATCCTTGTAGATATATATATTAAACATTAAAGTGTATGTTCGTTAACTTTCATCTGTATTTGATGATTTTATATGGCCACAAGTTACTGGGCATTTGAGATGCTTGCACGACTCATGTTAACAAATTATCATATTTCAATTGATATTTTGTTATATCCGGAATATCATTAGCGCAATAACATCAAATAGCAAGTTACTATATGCTAGTTTTGATTGACTGCATATTGAGATAATTTTAAAGTGTTTTCTTTACATTTTTTATGTAATTTTGGGCTTGAAAAGCAAGAATGCCGTGGATTCGATACTTTTAAAGAAAGAGTGAATATTCTTAACGATGTACTACGCATCCTTAATGTAAAAACGTGTGATTATCCCATAAAGTATTCAGCGAGACGATGAGGAAGATTTTAGAAGAGATAATGTTCCGTGCATGCTTACATGGTTGATTTCTGAATAGCAAGTGTGTCCATTGTTTGTGTACGTAGGGGAGCCAGGACAACACCGCCTATCTATGTGGCCTGGCGCGACATCTAGCTTACAATAAGCCTCTATAGGACAGCACGTTTTCTCCTTAAAGCTGAACATATTTTGAAAGATGCTCGTATGATATACTGAAGATAAAAACACATCTAGAATGTCCATGTATGTTAAGGGAACGTTGTGTAGTATAACTTGAAAAATTTGTGAAGGACAGCTGCTGAAAGTCTGAGTATCTTCAAATAAAAAAAATCACATAAATCATAATCTGGTTTATGATGGAATTTCGAATATGAAGCCAGACTTTAAAGTATGTGTTTTGAATGAAAAATGTTCCTTTCCGACAGCGTCCGCCCACTGACATGACTGGTGCAGTGTGTATAGTCGCCATTCTACAGTCTAGGCACGTTTCGCGGTGTGTTTACACATTCAGTAACCTCCCGCTAAAATGTGCTGCAACCGTGAACGTAAATCATGTGTAACTTTTTAAAATATATTTACTAAGTCAGCAAGAATGCTGACGTAAAATCTGTCTGCCTATTTTTGTCTTGATATAGTCTTATTTATTTCAGGATATTTTTCTTAGTCGATTCAAAAACATTATTTGTCATTTCATTTCTGTTGTTTCAAAGTGTAAATCAGATTGGCGAAGTATGCACAACCTACTTATTAAATGGCTATACAAAACCTCATAAACTGTAATCTATGGCAGATCCTGACTACCTGGGCCGAGTATCAAATTCTTTAATTCTCCTGAATACGATACGTAAATCATGTTTTTTTTGTTTTTTTTGATACACAATTGAATTCTAAACAGTAAAGTTAGCTATATGAAGGTATATAAATATCAGAGAAAGGAGAGAAAACGTTGTACCAAAAGCACTAACGAATATAGTTTATAATAGGAAATGAGAGACATCTGTTATAAAATTCGATATAAATGTGGAATGAATGGGTAAACGCAAACAAAAAATTCCTTTAATAACTTAAATAATATCTTAATTATTATAGACAATGTAATATTATAATTCAACTTACGTCTTCCTTGTCCAAACCGGCTCCTGGAAGTTGACGCTATGGCACCCACGAGACCTAACTGACGACATGCCACATTAGCGTCCCTAAGATCCCAGCTGAAGTCACAAATAGCTCCCCATCGATACATGTGGTAGACCAGGACCGTCCCCTCGGACGACGATCGACCCCCCACGAGTTTTATGTCTCCATCCTTTAAGGCGCGTGACATACCTAGCAACATCCCGTACGTGCATAACGCTAAAAACACTGTGTACCCCATGGCGGTCCTGGCAATATTTATCACAATGAAATATTAATATTCAATATTACCAAACACGATCAGCTGGTACATATACCTTTCTATAACGAGCTGTTACTCTCCCGGGGGTTCCTGTCTGATTGTCGTCCGCTCACACACTGACGCAATCGTCGCGTCACAGACATTTTTGTAAATTCAGGCGCGTGCACCATCTACTACTAAGCACTATGAAAGCGCGCGATATTTGACCCATGTCAATGGCAAAGTTCAATGAAATTTAAAACTTATGAACCCCGGTTAGCAAATACAATGTCTGACTAGATAGGCGGTGGGGCAGGCTGTGAAGGTCTGACGTCCACTGAGAGATACGCCTGTTGATTCGCTAGTCCACCACAGAACGAGCTAGGCACACAGTCCCAATGGTATTTATACCTTTGCAATAGTTAAAGCTATAATGGTTTTAGTTGACGATAAGTTTGTCAGCCCGACATATCTTTTGAAGGTCTATGTGTAACCGTTACCGACACACTAATGTCTTCCTTGCATGCGATGTGCTCGCCCTTGTGCTCCATTGATCATTGCCGATAAATCAGTCTGTACCACTTGGAGATCCAGTCACTTGTTCATAGGCACAAAAATGACAAAATAGTAAGCATACCTATTACGTCATCAGGCTGGCGAGATATATGTATGGCGATGTGGTTAAGGTATATAAGCGGAGGGCAATGAGGCGGCGTGCATATACTTCAGCAATAGTAGTGTGTACATGTGCAGAAAGCATGTATCTTGTTTATTTACTATAATACTGGCAGAGAACACTGAATCTGTTACATCTCAAATTTGTCCTGAGGCCTTCATCCTCAAAACAGGTGTTCAGGGGCGTCCGACTGAGGAAGACTGCACTTGTGTTAACTTCAAGTACCTGACGTCTTCACAGTTTGGTTAGCTTTCTCCCTACAAATAGATATTTTTCCATGGTTACTTAAAAAAAAATCTGATTAAAACTCTGAAGATAATATATATTTCAGTAACTTCAATATTTATAAGACAGAGTGTGATACGTGACTGATAGTGTTTGTACAAATGATTTTACACTTTCCCGACCAATTGTTGCCAAAGACGTTAAGACTGACAGCTTAAACAGCAACTTACCACTACAAATCTATGAAAGAGATATGTTACGCTTCTGTTCATATATAATTTGTGTTATAGAAATAAAACTTGGTGAAAAATAAAACGTTATAAAAATTGCTAGACTTAACATAGACAACATAGAAAAATGATCCATTGGCACACTAGCGCTCATTTGAACCAAAATGACACTTCAATCTTTTCTGATGGCGTTTGCAAGATGTTGACAATATTGAATCAGTGATGATGGATATAAGCATTATTGGGGCATTATTGCTATTGTTTTACAATAACTAGATGCTGATAAGAAATGGCCACTAGTAATGAATTATGACCAGTGGTGACAATGTGGGTTTAATATTTCCGTATGTTAATAACTGGATGTTGATATCAATGGCATGGCTGATAATACATTGTGTCCTCAAAGTATAGGGCCAGTGTTGTTTGATAGCATCAACAGACCAGTATTTCTGCAAGATTTAACACGAATAAGTCACTGGACAAATAGCTAAGCATTACATGTCCATAGAAAAACTATCGTAAATAATAACAATGCCAGTGGAATAAAAAGAGTCATCTCTCTACTTAAGCTTCAATTCACAAGAACAACGTCGCAACTGCAAGTCAATTCACAAGAACAACGTCGCAACTGCAAGTCAATTCCAGTCAACATCACAGGAAATCAAAGATACGCCAAGACAAAAGAGAAAGCATCACGGACACAGAAGCAACCGTAAGCGAGGCCATGTACATTGTATCTAGCTTATACTAGTATATAGTTGTTACATTGTATCTAGCTTATACTAGTACATAGTTGTTACATTGTATCTAGCTTATACTAGTACATAGTTGTTACATTGTATCTAGCTTATACTAGTACATAGTTGTTACATTGTATCTAGCTTATACTAGTACATAGTTGTTACATTGTATCTAGCTTATACTAGTACATAGTTGTTACATTGTATCTAGCTTATACTAGTACATAGTTGTTACATTGTATCTAGCTTATACTAGTACATAGTTGTTACATTGTATCTAGCTTATACTAGTACATAGTTGTTACATTGTATCTAGCTTATACTAGTACATAGTTGTTACATTGTATCTAGCTTATACTAGTACATAGTTGTTACATTGTATCTAGCTTATACTAGTACATAGTTGTTACATTGTATCTAGCTTATACTAGTACATAGTTGTTACATTGTATCTAGCTTATACTAGTACATAGTTGTTACATTGTATCTAGCTTATACTAGTACATAGTTGTTACATTGTATCTAGCTTATACTAGTACATAGTTGTTACATTGTATCTAGCTTATACTAGTACATAGTTGTTACATTGTATCTAGCTTATACTAGTACATAGTTGTTACATTGTATCTAGCTTATACTAGTACATAGTTGTTACATTGTATCTAGCTTATACTAGTACATAGTTGTTACATTGTATCTAGCTTATACTAGTACATAGTTGTTACATTGTATCTAGCTTATACTAGTACATAGTTGTTACATTGTATCTAGCTTATACTAGTACATAGTTGTTACATTGTATCTAGCTTATACTAGTACATAGTTGTTACATTGTATCTAGCTTATACTAGTACATAGTTGTTACATTGTATCTAGCTTATACTAGTACATAGTTGTTACATTGTATCTAGCTTATACTAGTACATAGTTGTTACATTGTATCTAGCTTATACTAGTACATAGTTGTTACATTGTATCTAGCTTATACTAGTACATAGTTGTTACATTGTATCTAGCTTATACTAGTACATAGTTGTTACATTGTATCTAGCTTATACTAGTACATAGTTGTTACATTGTATCTAGCTTATACTAGTACATAGTTGTTACATTGTATCTAGCTTATACTAGTACATAGTTGTTACATTGTATCTAGCTTATACTAGTACATAGTTGTTACATTGTATCTAGCTTATACTAGTACATAGTTGTTACATTGTATCTAGCTTATACTAGTACATAGTTGTTACATTGTATCTAGCTTATACTAGTACATAGTTGTTACATTGTATCTAGCTTATACTAGTACATAGTTGTTACATTGTATCTAGCTTATACTAGTACATAGTTGTTACATTGTATCTAGCTTATACTAGTACATAGTTGTTACATTGTATCTAGCTTATACTAGTACATAGTTGTTACATTGTATCTAGCTTATACTAGTACATAGTTGTTACATTGTATCTAGCTTATACTAGTACATAGTTGTTACATTGTATCTAGCTTATACTAGTACATAGTTGTTACATTGTATCTAGCTTATACTAGTACATAGTTGTTACATTGTATCTAGCTTATACTAGTACATAGTTGTTACATTGTATCTAGCTTATACTAGTACATAGTTGTTACATTGTATCTAGCTTATACTAGTACATAGTTGTTACATTGTATCTAGCTTATACTAGTACATAGTTGTTACATTGTATCTAGCTTATACTAGTACATAGTTGTTACATTGTATCTAGCTTATACTAGTACATAGTTGTTACATTGTATCTAGCTTATACTAGTACATAGTTGTTACATTGTATCTAGCTTATACTAGTACATAGTTGTTACATTGTATCTAGCTTATACTAGTACATAGTTGTTACATTGTATCTAGCTTATACTAGTACATAGTTGTTACATTGTATCTAGCTTATACTAGTACATAGTTGTTACATTGTATCTAGCTTATACTAGTACATAGTTGTTACATTGTATCTAGCTTATACTAGTACATAGTTGTTACATTGTATCTAGCTTATACTAGTACATAGTTGTTACATTGTATCTAGCTTATACTAGTACATAGTTGTTACATTGTATCTAGCTTATACTAGTACATAGTTGTTACATTGTATCTAGCTTATACTAGTACATAGTTGTTACATTGTATCTAGCTTATACTAGTACATAGTTGTTACATTGTATCTAGCTTATACTAGTACATAGTTGTTACATTGTATCTAGCTTATACTAGTACATAGTTGTTACATTGTATCTAGCTTATACTAGTACATAGTTGTTACATTGTATCTAGCTTATACTAGTACATAGTTGTTACATTGTATCTAGCTTATACTAGTACATAGTTGTTACATTGTATCTAGCTTATACTAGTACATAGTTGTTACATTGTATCTAGCTTATACTAGTACATAGTTGTTACATTGTATCTAGCTTATACTAGTACATAGTTGTTACATTGTATCTAGCTTATACTAGTACATAGTTGTTACATTGTATCTAGCTTATACTAGTACATAGTTGTTACATTGTATCTAGCTTATACTAGTACATAGTTGTTACATTGTATCTAGCTTATACTAGTACATAGTTGTTACATTGTATCTAGCTTATACTAGTACATAGTTGTTACATTGTATCTAGCTTATACTAGTACATAGTTGTTACATTGTATCTAGCTTATACTAGTACATAGTTGTTACATTGTATCTAGCTTATACTAGTACATAGTTGTTACATTGTATCTAGCTTATACTAGTACATAGTTGTTACATTGTATCTAGCTTATACTAGTACATAGTTGTTACATTGTATCTAGCTTATACTAGTACATAGTTGTTACATTGTATCTAGCTTATACTAGTACATAGTTGTTACATTGTATCTAGCTTATACTAGTACATAGTTGTTACATTGTATCTAGCTTATACTAGTACATAGTTGTTACATTGTATCTAGCTTATACTAGTACATAGTTGTTACATTGTATCTAGCTTATACTAGTACATAGTTGTTACATTGTATCTAGCTTATACTAGTACATAGTTGTTACATTGTATCTAGCTTATACTAGTACATAGTTGTTACATTGTATCTAGCTTATACTAGTACATAGTTGTTACATTGTATCTAGCTTATACTAGTACATAGTTGTTACATTGTATCTAGCTTATACTAGTACATAGTTGTTACATTGTATCTAGCTTATACTAGTACATAGTTGTTACATTGTATCTAGCTTATACTAGTACATAGTTGTTACATTGTATCTAGCTTATACTAGTACATAGTTGTTACATTGTATCTAGCTTATACTAGTACATAGTTGTTACATTGTATCTAGCTTATACTAGTACATAGTTGTTACATTGTATCTAGCTTATACTAGTACATAGTTGTTACATTGTATCTAGCTTATACTAGTACATAGTTGTTACATTGTATCTAGCTTATACTAGTACATAGTTGTTACATTGTATCTAGCTTATACTAGTACATAGTTGTTACATTGTATCTAGCTTATACTAGTACATAGTTGTTACATTGTATCTAGCTTATACTAGTACATAGTTGTTACATTGTATCTAGCTTATACTAGTACATAGTTGTTACATTGTATCTAGCTTATACTAGTACATAGTTGTTACATTGTATCTAGCTTATACTAGTACATAGTTGTTACATTGTATCTAGCTTATACTAGTACATAGTTGTTACATTGTATCTAGCTTATACTAGTACATAGTTGTTACATTGTATCTAGCTTATACTAGTACATAGTTGTTACATTGTATCTAGCTT